CTTTTTTTTTTTTTTTTTAAAGATTTTATTTATTTATTCAAGAGAGACACAGAGAGAGAGGCAAAGAGAAACAGGCTCCATGCAGGGAGCCCGATGTGGGACTCGATCCTGGGACTCAGGGATCACACCCTGAGACGAAAGCAGACACTCACCCACTGAGCCACCCAGGTGTCCGTTCTCACTTTTCTTAATAATACTTGTCACCACCTAAGATTATCCATTTACTTATTTACTTAATGTCCTTACTTCTATTAAAATGTAAACATCGCTGCTGGAACCTAGCATTCTTGTTCACAATTGTTCTACTGGTGTCTAGCAATGCATGGTTCAGATCACTCAATGGATGAATACATTTTTAGGCAACAAAAGACATATAAACTAATCAAAATAGAAGCCAGTGAAACTGGATCCTATATAGATACTGCTATCGATTGAACTGTGTGTCCCTCCAAAATCAGACACTGAAGCTCTGACCCAATGTGACTGTATTTGGAAATGGTACTTTTAGAAGATAATTAATAAGGTTAAAAGAAGTCATAAGGCTCTTAGACTGATAGGACTGGTGGCCTTATAAGAGGTCTGTCTCTGTCTCACTCCCTCTCCTTCTCTGCCATGTGAGGACAATGTGAGAAGGGAAGATCTGCAAGCCCTCATCAGAGCCCCAAATGCTAATCTCAGACTTCCACCCTCCAGAACTATGGGAAAACAAATGTTTTACCAGCCTATGGTATTTTGTTGTGGCAGCTCAAGCTGACTAACACAGATTTAGATAGAAATGAATTATAGTCGTTGATGATAAAAAGAGTATCCATATCTTTGTTCAAATTTTTTACCTATCACCCCTAATCGGACATTTTTGTTTACTTTTTGAGAAAATTGTAGATTCCTGTGAGGTTGCAGAAAATACACAGGAAAGTTTCATGCAACCTTCACCCAACCTCTCTCAATGTTTAACATCTTATATAACTATAGTATAATAGTCAAACCAAGAAAGTAACATTGGTATAATCCATAGAGTTCATTTAGACTTCACTAGTTATACATGCCCTTGTGTATACGTATAGTTGACCTTGAACAATGCAGGGTTATGGGTGCCAACCCCCCATGCAGTCAAAAATCTGAGTATTTACCTTTTGATTCCCCCAAAACTTAACAACTAATAGCCTGTTGACCAGAAGCCTTACCAATAACATAAAAAATTGATTAACACATATTTTCTAAGTTGGATGTATTATAGACTGTATTCTTGTAACACAGTGAGCTAGAGAAAAGAAAGTGTTAAGAAAAACGTAAGAGAAAATACATTTACAGTACTCTACTGTATTAACTGAAAAACATCCACATGTAAGTGGAGTCACACAGTTCAAATGCATGTTAAGGCTCAACTGCATATAGTTCTATGCAATTTTAAAGTTTTATCACATATAAACTTGCATAATCACCACCACAAACAAGATACTCAACTGTACCATAACCACAAGACTCCTTTATGGCCCTAACCATCCTTTCCCTTTTCTATATCCTAACCCTTGACAAGCATGAATCCATTTGCATCTCTGTAATTTTGTTATTTCATAAATATTACATAATTGGAGTCATGGGGTATGTAACCTTTTATGATTGGCTTTTCTAACTCAGCATACTTCCTCATGCATACTACCCACGCTGCTGTGTGTATCCACAGTTTATTTCTTTTTGTTGCTGAGCATTATTCCATAGTATGGATGTACCTTTTACTCGTTTTTTTAAAAAATATTTTATTTATTTATTTGGGGGGGTTGGAGAAAGAGAGAGAGAGAGAGGGAATGAATGAGCAGAGGGAGATGCAGCGGGAGAAGCAGACTCCCTACTAAGCAGGGAGCTGGACATGGGGCTCAATCCCAGGACCCAAGATCATGACCTGAGCTGAAGGCAGACTGAGCCACCTAGGTGCCCTTACCCATTTTTAATTGGGTTATCATTACAGTGTTGAGTTACAGTACATATCAGTCTTCTGTTGGATATGTTTTACTGCTATTTTCTCTTGGTCTGTGACTTATTCATTTTTTTATTGGTATATTTTGAAGAGACAAAGTTTTTAATGTGGATAAAATTTGATTTATCAATTTTTTTATTATGGTTATTGCTTTCACCTAAGAAGCCTTTGGTTACTATAAGTCATTCTCCTAGTATTCCTTTAAAAGCTTTATATTTAGCTTTCTTTTTTAAGTTTATTTTCTATTATTTTTAGTAATCTCTACACAAGATCAAGAGTCACATGCTCCTCCAACTGAACCTGCCAGGCACAACTAGCTTTCATATTTTTTATATAAAATTTATAATGAGTCTTAAATTTTTTTTACATTTGGATTTTTTACATTTTTTATGTTTAGTTTTTATATTTAGGTCTAAAGTACATCTTAAATTAATTTTGGGATGAGGTAGGGGTGAAGATTTTTTCTCCAGCTATTCCAAAATTCATTTGTTAAAAAAACTTTCCTTCCCCTCCACTGGAATGTTTTGGTGCCTTTATCAAAAATAAATGATCCTGGATGCCTGGGTGGCTCAGCAGTTAAGCAGTTTCCTTTAGCTCAGGGCGTGGTCCTGGAGTCCTGGGATCGAGTCCCACATTAGGCTTCTTGCATGGAGCCTGCTTCTCCCACTGCCTATGCCTCTGCCTCTCTCTCTCTCTCTCTCTGTCTTTCATGTTTAAAGAAGTAAAATCTTTTTAAAAATGTGATCTTCGGGGCACCTGGGTGGCTCAGCAGTTGAGCCTGCTTTTAGCTCAGGTCGTGATCCTGCAACCGGGATCAAGTCCCACATCGGGCTCCTGCATGGAGTCTGCTTCTCTCTCTGCCTACGTCTCTGCCTCTCTCTCTGTGTCTCTGATGAATAAATAAATAAAATCTTTAAAAAATATATTTAGGGCAGCCCTGGTGGCGCAGCGGTTTAGCGCTGCCTGCAGCCCAGGGCGTGATCCTGGAGACCTGGGATCGAGTCCCATGTCAGGCTCTTTGCATGGTGCCTGCTTCTCTCTCTGCCTGTGTCTCTGCTTCTCTCTCTCTCTCTCTCTGTGTCTCTATTAATAAATAAATAAAGACTTAAAAAAAATAAAAAATCTATTTAAAAAATTTAAAAACTAAATGATCTTTTAAGTGTGTATGAGTTCTACCTCTAAGGTCTCGGTTCTGTTCTGTTGGTTGACCTTTATCCAATATTCAAAGTCTTGATTACAGTAGTTTTATTTTTTTGAGAAAGAGAAAGGTGGGGGGAGGGAGACACAGGGAGAGAGAATCTCACGCAGACTCCCCACTGAGGCTGGACCCTGATGCAGGACACAATCTCAAGACTCTGAGATCATGACCTTAGCTGAAACCAAGATTTGGATACTCAACTGAGAGAGCCACCCAGGTGCCCCTTGATTACTGTAGTTTTATAATCTTGAAGTATCTTGAAGTCATATAGTCGAAGTCCTGTAATATACTCTTCCTTTTCCAAGATTACCTTAGAAATGCTAAGTCCATCAGTTTTTCATAAATTTTGGAATCAGCTTAAGATTTATAAAATTGATATTTTAAGAAGACGGAGTCTTCCCATCCCCAAAACAGTTTCTTTCTATTTATTTAGGTCTTTACCATGGTTTTTAGTGTACAGGTCTTGCATGTTTTATCAAATTTACTCCTTAGTATTTTTGGTTTCTGCCACTATTATAAATTGACTTAATTTGCTTTTAATTTTCTTAATTGACTTAACTGACTTAATTGACTTAACTGATTTTAAATTTCTTATTTTTTTCACTCCTAGTATATAAAAACACAATTTATTTTTATTTTTTAAAATATTTTATTTATTTATTCTACCTATTTTTTTAATTATTTATTTATGGGAGGTATTCTTTCCTTTTATGAAGGAATTTGTGTAACACTGCTGCTATTTCTTTCTTGAATATTTAATAGAAATCGCCAGTGAAGCCATTTGAGTCTGGTGGGTTTTCTTTGTGGAAAGATTTCTGAATGAATTCAATTATTTTGACAGATATAAGGTTACTCAGATTTTCTCTTTTTATCTTGTGTCAGCTCTGGTAATTGTGTTTTTTAAGTTGTTCCATTTCATTTAAGATGTCTTATTTATTGGCATAAAATTACTCATGGTATTATTATTCTTTTAATGGCTATATAGGACGTGAAGTGATAACCCAGTTACTATTTCATTCCTAGCATTAACAATTGTTGTCGTCCTTTTTTTTTTTTTTCTTGATGAGTCAAGTTAGGTGTTTACCAACTTTGTTGATCTTATCAAGAAATCAACCTTTGGCTTTATTAATTTTCTATACTTTTACTATCTTGTTGATTTCAGCTCTTATGTTTACTGTCATCTTTGTTCCTCCTACTGAGAACAGCTCCTCTCTTTGAAGTAGTAGAAAAAATAAGGGATCCCTGGGTGGCACAGCAGTTTAGCGTCTGCCTTTGGCCCAGGGCGCAATCCTGGAGACCCGGGATCAAATCCCGCGTCGGGCTCCCAGTGCATGGAGCCTGTTTCTCCCTCTGCCTCTCTCTCTCTCTCTGTGACTATCACAAATAAATAAAAAATTAAAAAAAAAATGAAGTAGTAGAAAAAATATTAAAAATGAAAAACAAGGGCAGCCCCGGTGGCGCAGCGGTTTGGCGCCGCCTGCAGTCCAGGGTGTGATCCTGGAGACCAAGGATCGAGTCCCACGTCAGGCTCCCTGCACGGAGCCTGCTTCTCCCTCTGCCTGTGTCTCTGCCTGTCTCTCTCTCTGAATGAATAAATAAATAAATCTTTTAAAAAAATAAAAATAAAAATAAAAATAAAAATGAAAAACAGAGACTTGTAATTGAGGTCAACAGGAAGTTCCTCTGGAGTCCAGGTTTAAAAGATTTTAATTTGCTTCCCTCCACAGGCCATGGGCTTTGGAAGAGAGATTTCCAATATCTCAAGGTTAACAGGCTTGGCTCTTACCTGCAGTAATTAATTCCCCATCCTATTCAGCCCTCACTCACCAGAGTAGTGTCTTTTGGTCTCTTCCCTCACAACCATCCAGGGCTCCTTCCCTTCATCCAATAAGGTAATCACATCTGGTTTAGAAATGGAAGGTTCTGCTTAAAAGATAATGTGATGTGAAATTATAAGTCCAAAAGTCAGGTACAAATTTGGTTAAATTCATAATTAACTATAGATCAAAACGGCACTTTACAAAGCCTAAGAGTGAAGAAATGAAAGGCAGCTGAAGAGCACTCATGTTAAGGTACCTTCGGGAGCACAAGGAAACGATAATAACAGGCCTTATTATAATTTAAACTCATATAAACTCTGTTGAGAGGTGATCTTGTGTAGTGGTTGAGAATATAAAATCTGAATCCAGACTGAGTTTAAAATCCTGCCTTTCTTGCTGTGTTACCTCAGTAAATTATTAACCTCTTATGCCTAAGTTTTCTCATCTGAAAGGACGATAATCACAGTATATTACTTATAGAGTTGTGAGAATTAATTAATAACGGACAATGCTCACAATAGTAAGTACAAATACATGCAATTATAGGTACATATACCTGTGTGTGTATTAGTTATTTTTATTATTATCAACTTACTGACAGGAGAGTCTTCCTGAGATGACATCTGATCCTTTCTAGGATTATTCATTCAATGATAAATTCAAAGTTCTTAGATTTTTTTTTTTAAGATTTTATGTATTTATTCATGAAAGACACCGAGAGAGAGAGGCAGAGATACAGTCAGAGAGAGAAGCAGGCTCCATGCAGGGAGCCCAATGTGGGACTCGATCCTAGGACCCCAGGATCACACCCTGGGCTGAAGGTAGGTGCTCAACTACTGAGCCACCCAGGCATCTCAAAGTTCTTAGATTTTAAATTTCAACCACAAAGCAGGTAGAAATGAATATGTTATAGGAAACAGAATGTGTTTACTTGAGTTTTAAATGAACTTTGTGGATCCATTTTATACAGTGTAAGTTCTCTAGGCTCCCTTGATTTTTAGAGACTCAAAACCCCTGTGGCTAGGTACTCTCCTTGCTGGATTAGAAAGGAGTGTTAAGTATTTGCATCAATTCTGGGCTTAAATATAATGTAAAATCTGATTTCTTGGACAATGCTTCTGTTGTCATCAACCCAAATTCAAGCCCAGCCCTTGGATACCAATGAAACAAGTAAATCACAGAGCCTGAAAAAAATCTGAAGGACACAGCAGAATGAAAGTGATGAAGTATTAAATGTAGGAGCCTATTTCCAACCCAACAAAGCTAAAGCCATTCCTTTGGAACACAAAGAAAAAAATTTATCTATTTTTTCAAAACATAGTCCTGAAATTGACAATAAAGTCAACATAATTTGAAATAAATAGCCTTACCTAGTGAGATGAAATTGCTATAATTCTCCCACATTACATCCCTATATAAGTCCCTCTGAGCTGAGTCCAGGAATTCCCATTCTTCCTGTGAGAAATCTATGGCCACATCCCTGAATGTCACTGAACCCTGAAAAAATAAAACTCATGTTATTACCTGTGAAAATAAATGCAATATTTCTTAAATGAAAAGGGAGGAGATTGAGGACTGCAATGCAGAGAAGGGGCGACATAACAAGCAATGTGATACGGCTTATGAGAAGGGGACAGTAAGAAAATTAGTATCACTGAAGCAGAGTTCTACATGTCTTGAACAGCCCTATGGCTGCAGATAAGATTAATTTTTTACCCCCCAAAATCTGGAAATTAATAAAATAACCAAAAAAAGGGCTCAATTAATTGAAACTGTACACACAAGCCTTTTACAAGCTATGTGTCTCCACAGTAAATTCATGGGAAATGTCTTCCACTTCCTTTTCCCTTTAATGATCGTGAAAAAATATTGACAAAAACTTCTCCCAAAAGTACTGTAATATCTTTTCTAAGAAAAGAGACTCAAGTTCATCATAAAGTCAGATTTTTCTTTTTTTTTTTTTTTAATTTTTATTTATTTATGATAGTCACACACAGAGAGAGAGAGAGGCAGAGACATAGGCAGAGGGAGAAACAGGCTCCATGCACCGGGAGCCCGACGTGGGATTCGATCCCGGGTCTCCAGGATCGCGCCCTGGGCCAAAGGCAGGCGCCAAACCGCTGCACCACCCAGGGATCCCAAAGTCAGATTTTTCTTATAAACATTTTCCCTATAAGGACCACTTCTTTAATAAACTTTAAAAAAACTGTACATGGTAGTCCACATTTTGAATATATCATATTCAATCTTTTTCTTTTCCTATTTAGATATTTTAATTCATTACAATTTCAAAAATCTTCCTTGATTCTTACAGCCTACATTATCTATTACTTATGCATCTGGATGACCTTCTTAGTCTTTATCATCCATCATCCCTAACTGAACACCCTTCCTCAACCCTGACTTGAGGATGCTGAACCATGATGATGTCACTTTGGACAAGTGGTTTTCAATCAGGAGTGATTTTACTCCCCAGAAGATATCTGGCCATGTCTAGAGACAATTTTGGTTATCACAACAGGAGGGAGGGGATATGAGTGTTATAGGCACCTCACTGGTAAAAGGCCAGGGATACTGTCTGATGTTCCACAATGCAGACGACAGCCCCCACAATGAAAGATTCTCTGACTCAAAATATTAATACTCCCAAAGTTGAGAAACCTTGTTATAAACCAGCACATCCTGTAAAATTACACAATGGACTTTGCTCCCGGTATTCTTCTCTCAGGGTTTCTCTCTCAGGGTTTGCTGGAGATGATTCTTGATCTATTTGTAGTTCTGTTCTGATTACCTAATTACCTCCCCACTGGTGAGGGAGAGATTCCTTGCCCTGTATAGTATGAGGTGGCTCAATACCTGACACTGGACAGATGAGACTGACAGCATTTATTAGACATGTATACTCACAGCCCAGGGGAGGAGAACACCACACGTCATGCAGGGCCACACAGGGGTTGCACTCAGGAATGGAGTGAACAAGCAGGGTCTGTGGGAGGCAGGCTTTGTAGTAAAAAGAGGGTAAGGTGTCCCTGATCCCCACAGGAGGATGTGACCGGTTTGTTTGAATAATTCTGTGGGCTGGCAGGGAGGTGAAACCTTCTGATAGGGTGAGGACCAGAAGGGGTTCTGCCTGATAGGAAGGCTAGCCAGGTAGGAGTCTTTTCTGCTGGATAGGGACCATATCTGGCAAGAACAGGGGAACTCATGATTAGGCCTTTGGAGCCATGATAAAGATATCAAGTCACCATATGAAATTTTAAGACTTAGAATATAAGGCACCAATTATATCCCTACTTGATCCACCCAATCCTAAAAGCCTTACGTACATACTGTAAGATCTCAACGCATAACAGAGACTGACACCAGCCAACACTAAATCTCATTTTATGTCCTTGGAAAACTCAAGTCTGTGAAGAAGTCTGGAGTTTTCCCTCTAGGCAGTCAAATAGGACCAAGTTCCCTCCTTCATTAAACCAGAGATCTTCAAGGAAAGTTTTTAAAACAAAGATCTCCCCTTAATATCAATAACTCATTCCTGAATACCAGACATTCTAATAGTACATTATTAAACAGGTATTTATTGCAACTACACTGTACTATACGTCAATTCCAAACCTCCAAGCAGCCTCACATCTCCCTCCAGGATAGAATTATAGTATACATGGGTTGCTCCACATGTACCTTTAGCTTTAGCATTTTCATGGTCTGAATTCACTTTTCTCACTTGCTTTGTGTCTTTCCCCACAATTTCTTCAATACTTCCCCAACTTATTAGAAACTCATTTTATACTACCCAAGAGCTACATGTTAAATAAATACACTATGAAAATGCATTTCTAACCAAAACATAATGGCAGGATAGCTCACATTCTGTATGACGCTCTGACACCTCCATTCTCACCGGCAGCACCAGAAACACACATCCTCTTAATGATATTTGCGTGCGTCTCAAAACATCCGAGGATGGTCCTGATAGTCTACCAATTATATTTGAAATATAACAAGAGTCTCCTGCACATTATTTTTTGTTAAAAAAAGTTATACTGAACTATACAATTTCACTTATTTAAAGTTCTAAAAATAGGCAAAATTTATTTATGGTGTTAGAAGTCAGGACACAGGGATTATATCTGGGCCTGGTGGGCAGGGAGTGACTGAAATGGGGACATCTGAGGTACCACCAATATTCTCTTTCTTGACCTGAGTGCTGCTAGCACAAATGTGCTCAGTGTATGAAAATTCATTCAGCTACACACTTAAGACTTGTGTACTTTTCTCTATGTATGTTACATGTCAATAAAAAGTTCAAAAACTTTGAAAAGATGTCAAATTGTGTATTAGGGACACAAACTTTTCCTACATAAAGCCAGACTAAAAATCATTGTATTCAGAGATATACTTTCTCTGAAGCTTAAGTATTAAAATCAAAAGCTGTTATATTGGAAACTGTTAACAAGGGGACTTTCTGCAGAGAGTGCCTGCATTTTTCTCAAGGCATTTCACTTTTGTTTCCTCATGGCTCTTGTCAGAAGATTCTGTAGCCAGGAGAAGATCCACATTAGTGGAAAAGAGAGAAGGCATGTAGGAAGGACACTCACTGGGCTCTTTGTTCCCAACCCTCATTGGAATGAGAGGAACTAAAGAAAATTCTTGGGTAGAGTTGTGTTAAATAAGAAGTGTCAGGATAAGGAATGGGTATGTATGTACAAATGACATAGAGATCAATAATATTTCAAAAAGGAGAAAAGAACATCAACTTACATAGGCCATGGTTTCAAAATGCAAGAATTGGTTAGTCCTTTTCAAGATTTCTCTGTTGGAGAACTGCAGAATCCAGATAAGCCAGATCTGGAAGAAAAAGAGGCCATGAAACCAAATGTAACCCAGAGATCTCCAAAAGACTTATGTTAATGAGCTTTTTTCTTTTCTATCCCTACTTCCTAACTATTCTCCACAACTATACCCACCCTGATTCCATACTCACAAAAACTAGGAGAGAGTACAAGAAGTGTAAAGAAATCCAAGCCCTAAGGAATCCAGCTGAACACTGATGGATTTGGTATAGAAGCCTGAATACTTAGCAGGAGGACTCCCCGTCTGGCAGTATAGATCTGGTCCTGACACTGGACTCCTCCTCCCTCTAGTACCATCTTGCAGGGCTAAGAAAGGGCCATAACACCATATACAGCCTCTTGAGCCCCTAGGATCCTGCCTGAACCTCTTAAATACGAAGCCTGCAAACAACACAGATTAAGCCTAGCAGCTGCTGCCACTGGCCTTTCCCCAGCCCAAACAACTCACTACTCTGTTTCCCAATCAGGACCTCTCATCCTAGGACATATTTTGCACCTCCTCCCTCTCTTTCAGTTTCCAAATGGGGACAAGGAGATTCATGATCATCACAGTCAGTCAACAACAAACGATCATGGAGAATTGCTACATGGTGGGCATTTCATAGACATCCCCCGATGACCCTCTCAGCACTGCTCTCCTATGCATTACTTTTATTTTTTTTTAAAGATTTTATTTATTCATGACAAACACAGAGACAGAGAGAGAGTCAGAGACACAGGCAGGAGAAGCAGGCTCCATGCAGGGAGCCCGAGGCGGAACTTGATCCCGCGTCTCCAGGATCATACCCCAGGCTGACAGCGGCGCTAAACCACCGGGGCTGCCCTGCTATGCATTTCTTCTCATCTCTCAATACACCAGGAAATCAATGCTCAGGGGTGAAATCATTTGCCCAGATTCAGTTATTAGGTGGCAACGTTCTGTTCTTAGTCCACATTTCTCTAACTAAAAGGTCATCTTGCAACTTTGGTTTTTGCTTCTAAAGACTAGATTTCAATAAATAAATAAACAAACAAATAAATAAATAAATAAATAAATAATAAAGACTAAATTTCTACATCCCTGAGAGGAATCAGAGCAAGGACAATTCACTACAAAATAAAAAAAATCTTTCACAAGACACTAAACCTCACTACTAATTATGGAGATGTGTGCAAGGCACACCAAAAAATTTCACTTTTGGGCAGTCTGGGTGGCTCAGCGGTTTAGCGCCGCCTTCAGCCCAGGGCATGATCCTGGAGGTCCAGGATCGAGTCCCACATCAGGCTCCCTGCATGGAGCCTGCTTCTCCTTCTGCCTGTGCCTGTGCCTGTGCCTGTCTCTCTCTGTGGGTCTCTCATGATTAAATAAGTAAAAATCTTTAAAGAAAAGAGAAAATTTTCACTTTTACAGTGATGGAACTGTGAGGTCTGAAAGACTGATGTCACAGAGTAGCAAAGTCATAAGGAAATGGACACCCTGTTGGTCCAAATTTAGAACTATGTGAAGAAGCATTTAAACGTGATAACCCTAAAGACCTTGTGAGCTAGTTCCCAGAACTTCACTTCTGAGACTAAAGGAACTATTTGCACATGTATATAAAGCTATCTGCAGAGGTACACTGACAGGCATGGTTTACAATGAACAAAAGCTGAAAAGAATCTAATTGGGGAAATGATTAAATAGTAGTGCATCTATACCACTAAAAACCAGGCAAATATTAAAAAGTGATGATGCTGCCCTAATTTTGATGAAATGGATGAAGCCACTGTGTTTATTTTTTTTTTATTTTTTATTTTTTTAGCCACTGTGTTTAAAACAAAAAATCCCATAGGTGCTCAGTGGGTTAAGCGTTGGACTCTTGATCTCAGCTCAGGTCTTGATCTCATGATCATGAGACTGACCCCCTAGCTGGGCTCCATACAAGGTGTGGAGCCTACTTTAAAAAATCAATTAATTAAATAAATAAAAATACAAATAAATAACTAAATAAAGGGCAGCCCCGGTGGCCCAGTGGTTTAGCGCCGCCTTCAGCTCAGGGTGTGATCCTGGAGACCCGGGATCAAGTCCCACGTCAGGTTCCCTGCATGGAGCATGCTTCTCCCTCTGCCTGTCTCTCTCTCTCCTCTCTCTCTGTGTCTGTCATGAATAAATAAATAAAATCTTGGGCAGCCCCTGTGGCTCAGTGGTTTAGCGCCGCCTGCAGCCCAGGGTGTGATCCTGGAGACCCTGGATCGAGTCCTACATCGGGCTCCCAGTGCATGGAGCCTGCTTCTCCCTCTGCCTGTGTCTCTGCCTCTCTCTCTGTGTGTGTCTCTATGAATAAATAAAATCTTAAAAAAAAAAAAATCCTAAAAAAAAAATAAATTCCAACATGTGTGGCAATAAATTCTTGTGACAGAAAAAATAAATCACATGTATGCTAGGAGGACTACTTCAAATGTCTACAGGAACAGCCAGCAACACTCACCACCATATTAAACACAGTGTGAACCTCACAAATACAAATATTCCAAATAAGGCAAAAATTTCCCCATTTCAAGGTTTTTCTTTTAGCCTTCTGTTGAACTGAGAAAAAAAAGCCCAAGATACTCTAAGAACAGCTGTTGTTTTTCCTGAGTGACTTTTTTTATTTACTTTACCTTCTAATTCATGAGCCAAGTCTATTGTTGACTTTGCCCATGTATACTGGAGTACTATCTAGAAACGAATCATAAAAAATGCCTGACTGGGGATGCCTGGGTGGCTCAGCAGTTGAGCGTCTGCCTTTGGTTCAGGATGTGATCCCGTGGTCCTGGTAAGTGTCATCGTCCCCCCCCCCAACAATCAGGCTCCCTGCAGGGGACCTACTTCTCCCTCTGCTTATGTCTCTACCTCTCTCTCTCTCTCTCTCTCAAGAATAAATAGTCTTTAAAAAAAAAAAAAAAAAAAAGCCTGACTGATGTCCTTTAAGTAATGACAGCAGTCTCTTGGCTGCTTCCTTTCACGTCTTCCTGAGAAATAAATTTATTTTATTTCTGAGCCAATCCTTTGGGCTAAGATGCCTATGAAGTCTCCAAGGCCTATTAGATCTCCCTGTTCTACTAATCTGACTTCACATAAAACATCATTAAAATAAAAACTGTGAGGCATTATTAATGATACTGGAATTAAAATAAAATTTAAAAACCACACCCACACAAAAAACTTGTGAGATGTAAGTCTGACCTATGAAATTCATTACCTCCAGACCCCATAGCTTCAGTATAATCTGGACACAAGTTGGTAGTGCTTGCTCTCATCACATTAATATCTTTTCTATCCTAATAGGTTACTGAATAAGGCAGGAAGCATTTTTTTTTAAGTACCCATAATGATGAGACTTGGTATACTGTTATAACTAATTACTAAAACAGCCTTTGGTATGACACTTCCAGGATACAAATCTCAGTTCTGATCTTGGGTATGTTACTTAACTTTTCAGCCTTAGTCACCTCCCATAAAAAAATGGTGATAATTATAGATTCTATCTCAAAAGGTTGTTATAAGGATTAAATAAGACATCATATATAATAAAGCACTTAAAGTAACAAACATTAAATGAAAGCCAGCTGTATCACTGAAGATGAAGAATACTACATACACTTTTCCCCATAATTATTATTTTTTAAAAGATTTTATTTATTTATTCATGTGAGACACAGAGAGACAGAGATATTAGGCAGCGGGAGAAGCAGGCTCCCTATGGGGAGCCCGATGTGGACTAGATCCCAGGACCCCAGGATCACCACCTGAGCCAAAGGCAGATGCTCAACCACTGAGCCACCCAGGCGCCTCTCTTCCCTGTAATTATTAAAGAAAATTCTCTTCTGCTCTTTTCTTCTTCCACAAAATATTTGAGCTTCTCAGCCTTGCTCTCATAATGCTAGCGAAAAAATTTCAAACTTCACATTGATAAGCAATTCCTCCTGATTAACAATTTACAAAAGGGGGTTCATGGATGAATGAAGCAAATGTGGGAAAATCCTCAAATTACTGGATCTAAGTGATGAGAAAAAAATAGAATTACAACATAATAGTGTTGAAAATCTATTGAGCACTAATTATGTATCAAGCATTACCTGAGGACTTTATGGATTCATCTATTCATAGCAATCCTCTGCAGTAGGTTCTAACACTATCCTCTCACAGATGAAGGAACTGTGACACAAAGAGATGAAAGAAATTACCCCAATTTTGCCCAGCTCTAAGTGGCCATTTTAGGACTAGAACACTGGTAATTTAGCTCCATAAACCGCCTCTCATAAGACCACATAAACATCAGGATGACTGGATGGCTCAGCAGTTGAGCATCTGCCTTCAGCTCAGGGCGTGATCCCAGGGTCCTGGGATCTAGTCCCACATCGGGCTCCCTGCATGGAGCCTGCCTCTCTCTCTCTCTGTCTCTCATGAATAAATAAATAAAATCTTTTAAAAAACCAAACACATAAACATATGGCCTGACAACTCATGCTGTCATAAATTTCAAACAATTTCTCGAATTTCTACTAACATCTTCCATTCCCTTCCTTGTTAATAGACCTTTCCTTTAAAAACCTTGTCACAGGGATCCCTGGGTGGCGCAGCGGTTTGGCGCCTGCCTTTGGCCCAGGGCCCGATCCTGGAGACCCGGGATCGAATCCCACATCAGGCTCCCGGTGCATGGAGCCTGCTTCTCCCTCTGCCTGTGTCTCTGCCTCTCTCTCTCTCTCTCTGTATGACTATCATAAATAAATAATAAAAATTAAAAAAATAAAAAAATAAAAACCTTGTCACAAATAAATAAAAATATTAAAAAAAAAAAAAAAAGGGCAGCCCTGGTGGCGCAGCGGTTTAGCGCCGCCTGCAGCCCAGGGCGTGATCCTGGAGACCCTGGATCGAGTCCCACGTGGGGCTCTCTGCGTGGAGCCTGCTTCTCCCTCTGCCTGTGTCTCTGCCTCTCTCTCTCTCTGCACCTCTATGAATAAATAAATAAAAATATTTAAAAATAAAAAATAAAAACCTTGTCACATTACAACTCCTTAAGAGCCTCAAAAGCAGAAAACCCTGTCACCAATCAAACTATCTCCTACCTTTGCCTACTTTTGAATTCAGGGCAGTGGTGAAGATTTAAGACACCTAGCTTATGATTCCAACTAAACTATAATCTTCTCAACAAATCAAATCCTAAAATAAAGCTCCCCAGTTGGTCTCCCTTCAGGAGGTTTCCTAGCAAGCCATCTAAATGATTAGAAAGTTCACAGAAGGAATTCAATGATTGCAAAATGTTTATGTGAATACCCACCTGAGAGGGCAGGAGGTAACTTCATCCATTACCCCTATCATTCTCTGGGAAAGAAGAGCAAAGTGCCAGGCCTATGTATAGGGTATTTCCCATGTTAAAGTCTAACCAGCTAAAGACCACCTGAACAAGCCTGTAATAGGCCAACAAAATCAGATTTATTGACTCGAGAGAGGGAGGAAATTCCACAGGAAGGGTTGGAATGCAATGCAGGAGGAGAAGAAAAGCTCTTTTGTGAAAGGCTGAGTTCCAACTGAAGGACTGAAGATGTATGGGAAGCAGGAACAATTCTGGAACGGTTGCGGTTTTCAAGTTGAGACTAGGAGAGGCAGGGATTAATTGGAGATTAAATGTTATCTTGAAGGGAGGGTCATTTAGCAATTGGGTATCTCCAGTAAGAAAACAAAAAATGGCAAAGCGAGTCTGGAGCATCACTGGTAAAAACAGCTGTTACCTCTCAAAGAGGGAGTTATTACAGCATTTTACAATTGCTGCATGAAACACTATTAATTTTGCAGCGGGCTATATATCTCTCTCTTCTCTCCCAGCGTGATTAATGCAAGGGCTGATTTTTCTATTTTCAGTCCGCACTGATTTTCATTTTCCCAGGAGATGCAAATGCTTCCAGGTCCAGAATAATAAAAGTTACAATTTCACGGAAGAAAATACAAATGGACATACGAGTGGTTATCTCCTCCATTCTCTCTCCTTCCTAAAGATCAGCAGGATTGGGGGGAAAGAGACGGGAATCCTGAAGCGCTGAGCCTTTCTGGGAGCTCAGCCCGGCCTGGCTAACTCAGAACACACCCCCGCTACCACACTTGCTCGCACCGTCCACCACGCACATACCCCGAGGCAACTAAGAGGGAGTCCGGGGTAAAGCTCAGCCTTCCCAGAATCAGAGAAAGGCCGAGTACAAAGGCCAAGTCTGGAATCTGTCTCCCACGTCGCGGCAGTTTCCTTACAAGGGAGCCCTGATGAAGCTGTGGTTCGCAGAGCTGCAGGTCTCAAGCCTGCGTCTTTTTGTTGGGGGCCTTCACCCTGGGGTTCATACATACAACTCGGAGCCATTCTGGGCCGAGGAACTGGTGCAGCCCTGAAGCGGAAAGGGAAAGGACGCCTCGGGGCACCCAATGCCCAGTCAGCGTCACAAAATCCACAGTCGGTGCTACCCGGTTCACACATAGGCCCGCGCCGCCCCCGCGCCGCCCCCGCGCCCATTTCCTCAATGCACGCGACCAACTCACCTCTCCTAGCCGACACCAGCAAGAAAGCCGGAAGGAAACTAGGAGCAGAGGCCTGTGGGAAATGTAGTCTTCGGTAGGGAGGGACCGGCCCCGCCCAAAATTGCCGGGCGGAGTGCGCAAGCGCACGTGCTAGCTGGTGATGGGGGAGACGGCTGGGGGGCTCTTGGGTTTTGAGGTTGGGCTACCGGGAGAGGGGCTTCAAGGCTGCCCGGGAATGAAGGAAGCGCATTCTGGGAGGTTGGCTTCGTGTTTGTCGCTGAAGAAGCCCTGCTATGACTAAGAAAGAAGTCTTGACACCGGCAGGGACATAATATACGTCCTAGGCGCACAGCAGGTGCTCAGTATACATGCCCACTTAGACTGTGGATATACGTCAAGTATTCAATAAAAAATCCTCAAACCATAGCCGATCGGGGATCAGATGACAAATAAAGGTCGCTCGTGCTTGCTCGAGCCCCCTCCTTCCCTTCCTCCTCTCAGTTTTTTTCTCCTTCTTGCAGCTGTGAACAGATGGTTCTATGAATTAGTGTTAGGTTACGGTGATGGATAAAAGTCGCCCGCCACACACACCCTATGGGCCATTTCTCTTTTCTCAGTTTCAGTTACTAGCCCTCACCTGCCATCCCCAAACAGACATTCCTCCTTTGGGGAGATAGATGGTCAATAGTAGCCTAAGGCTGTGTCACAATGTGTACATCATTCACCTCCCTTCCTCACATTATTAGGCATTTTATCAGCTCACATCACAAGAAGAAGGATAAGTACAGCACAAGATATTTTGGGAAAGAGAACACATTCACATAACTCTTGTTATATTGCAAACTTTCGCAATGTACAGTATATTGTTATATTTCATTATTATTTCTCTTAACATCTAACTGTGCCTAATTTATAAATTAAACTTTATTATAGTATGTATGTATAGAAAAAAAAACAGTATATACAAGGTTAAGTACTATCTACCTTTCCAGGCAACCTCTGAGGGTCTTGAGATGTGTCCTCTGATGATCAGGGAGGACTAATGAATTGTCATTTAAGTGTCCTTTATCCTTACCGATTTTTAAAAATCTAGTAATTAGAGGTATGAGAGAAGTGTGCCTATTGCTGTTTTCCCTTTAGTTCCATCAGGTTTTGCTTCATGTATTTTCAAGTTCTGTTAAGTACATATACTTACACTGTTTTTTTTTTTTCCTCATGAAGATTGAAAAGTGAACATTAGGAAGAGTATCCTCAGGGGCACCTGGGTGGCTCAGGTCTTGATACTGGGGTCCTGGGCTCGAGTCCTGCATCAGGCTACCCGTGGGGAGCCTGCTTTTCCCTCTGCCTATGTCTCTGCCTCTGTGTGTGTGTGTCTCATGAATAAATAAAATCTTTTAAAAATATCTTCAGAAGGGACGCCTGGGTGGCTCAGGGGTTGAGCACCTGCCCCTGGCTCAGGGCGTGATCCCCGGGTCCCAGGATCGAGACCCACATCGGGCTCCCTGCATGGAGCCTGCTTCTCCCTCTGCCTACGTCTCTGCCTTTCTCTCTGTGTGTCTTTCATGAATGAATAAATAAAATCTTTTTAAAAAATATCTTCAGAAGTCTTTAGTGAGTAATCATTGAATTTGTCATGTATTGCGTTCATTCAGGAAAGGAATGGGATAAGCCCACCAAGACTTATCCAGCACTGCAGCATCCTCCCCATCTCAAATATTTTGATACCATGGTTAATAGATGGAAGAATTTGTTCTCCTCTCAAGAATATAAAACTTAAAAAAAAGAATATAAAGCTTTAGAAATAATTAGAAAATGTCAATGCCAATCTTATTCTAATTTTGCAAATAGGAGAATATATGTGAAGTAGGAGATACATGAAAACTACAATTCTGGGTTTGTCTATTTCTCCCTTTAATTGGTTTAGTTTTTGCTTCATGTATTTTTGAAGCTATATTATCTAGTATATACACATTTATGATTGTGTGTCATCCCAATGAATTGACCCTTCTATTATGAAACATTTCTCTATGTCTTGTCTTAACCTCTATTTTATCTAGTATTAGTATAGTTGCTCTAGTTTTCTTACGCTTACTGATTGGCTGATATATTTTTCCATTTTTCCCCCTTGAATCTACCTGTGGTTTTATATTTAAAATATGTTTATGATAGATATCGTGTAATCTGGGTTTCAAATTTTTTATCCAGTATGAGTCTTTGGGTTTTCACTGAAATACTTACACTTATTTTGTCATACTATTGTCATACATATTTCAGCTACATATATTATAAACCCACTATATAGTGTTGCATTATTTTACTTTAAACAGTATGTATATTAATAAAATTTAAAGAAGAAAACAAATTTTATATTTACCCATATGTTGACCATATCTGATGTTTTTCCTTCCATCCTGTTGGGACTGTATTTTCATCTAAAGTCAATTATCTTCAAGCTGAAGAATTTCCTTTACCATTTTCTTTCAAAGATTTTATTTATTGAGAGAGAGCAAGCCAGGGGAAAAGCAGAGTGAGAGGGAGAGGCAGGGGCTCAATCCCAGAACTCTGGGATCAGGCATGACCTGAGTCAAAGGCAGACAGATGCTTAACCAACTGAGCCTCGCAGGAGCCCAACCTTTACCATTTTCTAAACTGCAGTTCTGCTAGTTGTAATCCAAATTTTCGTTTGAAATTATCTTTATTTCATCTTCATTTTAAAAGCATATTTTTCTCTGGCGATACAATTCTGAATTGACATACTTTTCTTTAGTTCTTTTTTTAAAAAGATTTTTCTTTCTTTCTTTGAGTGAGCAAGAGAGAGCTCGAGCAGAGGAAGGGGCAGAGGGGGAAGCAGACTCCCCTTCTGAGCAGGGAACTGGAATGGGGCTGGATTCCAGCAGCCTGAGATCTCCACCTGAGCCCAAGGCACACTTAACCAACTAAGCCACCCAGGCACCACTACTTTTCTTTAGTTCTTTAAAGATGTTATTCTATTGTCTTTTGGCTACTATTGTTTCTAATTAAGTCAGCATTATTCATATTTTTGTTCCCCAATATTTTATGTATGGTTTTTCTCCAACTGATTAAAAGATTTTCTATTGTTGAATTTTGGTGGTTTTGGTCATAGTTTTTGTTCTCTCCACATTCTGTCAATCCTCTCATTCTGGATCTCTAGTTATGAGTCTTGTTTCATAAATACCTTTATTTTTTTTTAATCTGAAGTACAAAGAGGACTTGATCCCAGGACCCCTGTGATCTTTTGGCATATTTTATTTTATTTTTTATTTTTTTTAAAAGATTTTATTTTATTTTTTTTATTTTTTTTTTTTTATGATAGTCACACAGAGAGAGAGAGAGGCAGAGACACAGGCAGAGGGAGAAGCAGGCTCCATGCACTGGGAGCCCGACGTGGGACTCGATCCCGGGCCTCCAGGATCGCGCCCTGGGCCAAAGGCAGGCGCCAAACCGCGGCGCCACCCAGGGATCCCTTAAAGATTTTATTTATTTATTCATGACAGACACACACAGAGAGAGAGGCAGAGACACAGGCAGAGGGGGAAGAAGGCTCCACGCAGGGAGCCCGACGTGGGACTCTGGGACTCGATCCGGCATCTCCAGGATCACACCCCGGGGTTAAGGTGGTGCTAAACCTCCGAGCCACCCGGGCTGCCCCTTTTGACATATTTTAATCACTTTTTGAGCACTTCTCTACTTTCCACCCCCACAAAATGTTCCAAACCCATCTTGTATTTTCTCTACTGGTGTTCCTTGGATCTGGGTGCTAGATATTCTTATTGGTACTGGGATGCCATTTCTTCCTTGTCCTTTGCTAGAAAACACACACACACACACACACACACACACACACACTCACACACACACACCTATGTGTATTTCTATATTTATCTACTTAAAAATATCATGGGGGTGCCTGGTTGGCTAAGCTGATAGAGGATCCCACTCTTGATCTTGGGGTGGTGAGTTTGAGCCCCACATTGGGTGTAAAGGTTACTTAAGTCAAAAATATGACTTTATAGTGATAGCTCCAATTCCAACCCAGCATCACAGCCTCCCCTCCCTATTGCAACGTCCTTCTCCAGCAGTAATAAAGTTTGCTCGCATTATATTAGCTTACTCCCACAATATACTTTTTTTGCTTGATTCTAGAATATATGAAGTAGTAGTTTCAGAATTGCTGAATCACTGTATAATCAGTCCTACTAGCTAATTTGTTTACAGGGTTTTTTTGTTTGTTTTGCTTTTAGCTTGAGGGA